CTGTGTTGTTTTAGTGTTTTGAGTATTTCTCAGAGACCCAGCTGCTCATGAAGCAGAAGTAATGTCAGTGGTTGAATCGAAGCACTTATTCATAGTGCAAATGAGCCAACTAGCAAGCTTGGATGGCAGAAATAGAACTCTAATCAAAACATAGACGACACATATAAATGAATTGAGCCACAGTATTGTTTTTTTCTGTGATTTGTTAGTTTGTTAATCAGTGTAACATAATCACTAAGCGTCAGACAGTTTACAAGAAGCTTGTTGCCAGAGTCAGTTTTTCAAGATGTGTCATTACAGGCACATAGTGGTCCTCATGAGAGCAGCTACATACATACCTTCTGACCTTTGGCATCATCATTTCAGATAGTGAAAATGTAATATGACAGGTTGTTTATAATTGGATTGGAGCATTCTGCAACTGAACATTGTGAGAGAAAGCTGAATGACGATTGCGCTATGTAGTTGAAAGCTCTAAAAGCTAGTAAGTGGACCTTTGTTCTTAGATCATTTTGCTGCATGCAGTATACTATTCCTAAAGGTCATCAAAGAACGTCCATGCTCAAATTCTACAAAACCTTTTTTTGACAAATAATATAATATTACCTACTGGAGTTAAAATATAGTAGTAGGGATGCGTGGTAAGGTGGGCTGGCGTGGCTACAGTGCCAGGGCCGAATTTTTGTCCCAGTCTGCCCCTGCCTTAAGGTACACACTGGCGACTGATGCTAGTGCCTGTGGGTTTTAAGCCTCCTTGTGAGCGTGTCCCACTCCCATACCCGAGGACGCCGGTTCGAGTCAGGACCATGCAGTATGTACTTGGATCTGGTTACACAAACAAAGGCTTTGGCAGCATCTAACAGCAAAGCAACTGTTGGATGTCAGTCGTCTAATGTTATAAGAACTATAACAATTTGTAATAAAGCCAGACTGGTCCATGTGGATTGTACTTCCAATGACAGTTTGCAAGAACCTTTGCTAGGACAACCAGTTCTCACTCCCAAGTCGTCAAAAATTTGGAGGCATGGTCAAGAGCCCATGAGCCACTTTGCAACGCGCTGGGGAGCCCCTTACTGTCATAGTTCAATGCAATAGGGGAACCCCTGTAGCATTGTATTTGTAAAGTAAGTATAGGATATTTAACAGAAAAGATAGAGTAAGGAGGTGGTTGGGTGGACAAGTGGAACAGAAACTGGACTTGCATGCAGGAAATCAGTGTTTGTTTCCCGTGTAAAACAAAAAGTCAACTGTTTTTATTTGTGACTTAGATAATCTAAGTTGCATAAGTTATGCAAGTAACGCAAGTAATGTTACATAACTTCCGAAAGTTAAGTCATATTACATTGTTATTTTAAGCCAAACCACGTTTTTGTTTTTTTGTGAATGAAAGATATAATCGCAGAGTTCATTGTCAAAAGGAGAACTGTATACCTCATGCAATAAAGGACTCACAATACCTTCAAAGGTTCTGTAAAAATCGGTGGGAAGGTCATCCAACCTGAGGGATTTATTACAGTTTTTCAAAACCATAACTCCATTTTTCAAAAAGCACACCAATTTCCATAAACTCTACGCACAAATCCTTTCATTTCTCATTGCCTGTACCATGTGGTCATTTAGAAAACTATTCAATATTTTTCACTCAAGTCAGCAAAGCTTGAGCTCAATTAGCACACAAGTACCCAGGTGGAAACAAAGAGTCATAATTGATAACCCACCAATCAGAACCTTCAATAGATAGATAATAGGGTAGTCAGTTCATTCAGTTTTGGAACAATGGATCCAGAGTGAAGGAAGAAGTAGAGGACACTAGAGAGGAGGAGGAGGGGGTGAAGGTGGAGGAAGAGGTGGAGGAGGAGGAAGGAGAGGAGGAAGAGGGAGGAGGAGGAGGTGGAGAGGGAGTAGGGAGAGGAAGAAGAGCAGGAGGTGGAGGAGGAGGAAGAGGAGGAAGCGGAGGAGGAGTAGGGAGAGGAAGAAGAACAGGAGGCAGAGGAAGAGGATGAGGAAGGTGGAGGTGGAGGAGGAGAATCTCTGGCCTGTCCCAGACCAGAATATTTTGTTGTTTGGTGTGTTGTACTGTATAGTACACTAAGGAATAAAAAATGTGCAAATGTTTACATTTGTTGTTTCTTTTCTTGTGTTCATCATATGAAAAGTTTTTTGAGGGGGTGAACCACAAGCAACATTACTTAAAACCTTACTTACTAACTAAACTTAAAATTGTTTTGAATTTATCTCACTCACACATATGCACACTTATCCCCCCTTCCTTAAGAGTTAGGGTTACAATTTTAGATTTGTTCACACACTTTAAAACGATTACGTTTATTTACAGCATTATTTGTTGATATTTGTTTCATAATATGCTGTATATTAACTTATTGGGAGAAATCCGGTAGTTCTATGTAAAATCAGAGATTGAGCATGCCCATGTAGCCAAAATAGAATGATCCTCATTTCATAATTCACAGAAGCACACTTTTCCTGCCTTTTTACCAAGGTTCTGTTTACAAACTTGTCGCAGCTGATAGTGTCACACCTGTGACACACCCACCAAACAGGAGAAAACATACCTTTAAGATTGAATTCGCCACTGGAAACATGCTTTCGGTCTTGGCCAATCAGAAGACAGCTGGCTTTGAGAGGGGGCCTTAAAGAGAAAGGAGCATCTATAGCTTGTTTCAGAGAGAGACTGAAATGAAGGCCAACATTAAGGGCCAGTATAACATAGAAAATGATTTTTTTGAACTTTTTTTGAACTTTGAATCGTGAAAAGCCATAGAGGTGAGACTGGAAAAGCAGAATAATAGGTCTCCTTTAAGTTAAACTGCCTATTTGTGTCAATGCTGTATACTTTTAACATTGGAGAAACAAGATGTCACAAACTCAACAGCATGGCTGTCATGTTCACAGGAAGATAACGGAAAACTTGGACAAGAAGTAACTTTGTTAAGAATTTATTGTGGAAGTTACTGATCGGCACATGCATGTTTTTTGGATCATTTTACAATCATAGGATGTTTTTTTAAGCTTAAGTTGGGTTTTTGGACAATACATGTGGAGGTGATCATGCCTTCTGTGTAGTGGCTCCAGTGGATTCCACAGTGGATTCTGTGGAAACTTTAAGAAAACACCTAAGACACATCTTTTTAGACAAGCTTTTAACCAGCCATATGGTTTTCTATTTTAATTCTTGTACAAACGGTGAGTTTTTGTGGATGGTCCATGGCGTGTTGTTGAAAATCGATGATTTGCCACAAAACAGGAATTTGTTATAACTTGTACCAAATTTGACATGGATAATAACAGTCCCAACCTGAACACATCCATATGCAAACATTCACTCAAAAGCATAGCGCCACCTCCCGGCAACAGGAAATGACACGTTTTACATTATGATGGACTACTCCTTGCAGATGGGCCATGTCAACTTTAAAACTGTCCCAGAAAACCCTAGCACAATAATGATGCCATGTGGTAAAACTTGTGAGTTTTTGGTTAACGGCATGGCAGCGAAGTTACATGCTTCGCCATGACACAGGGAGTTGTTGTAACTTCACTGTACATGATCAGATCTGTACCAAATTCTACACGTTTAATAAGAACACACCTACATGCCAACATTCACTCAAAGCCATAGCACCACCTGCTGGGAACAGGAAGTGAACAAAGCAGCCCCCGTGGCACGTTTCATCTACATATACGAAATTTCTGTGGCACGTGTATCATGTCCAGATATACCAAAAAGCCTCTTGGAGCGATGCCCTAATCCCAACAGGAAGTCAGCCATTTTGAATAGTATGGTCATTTTTGGATGATTTAGAGGGCTCCGCACTTTGACAAACTCCTCCTAGAGAATTAGTCCGACCGACTTCAGATTTTTGATGTCTACTCTAAACCCATTGACGATTAAAAGTTGTACAAATGGTGAGTTTTTGTGGAAGGGCGGGCCCGTGGAGTGGCGTCCAAAATCGATGATTCACCATGAAACAGGAAGTTGTTGTAACTTCAGTCTGCATTCTCACATCTGCACCAAACTTTACATGTTTAATAAGAGTCCTGCCCTGAACACATCTACAAGCCAAAATTCACCCGTAGTCACAGCGCCACCTGCTGGCAAGGAAGGAAGGAAGGACTATGTTTATGCTGTGATGAACCACTTCTTCCAAGTTGGCTATAGGTACTTTAGAACTATCTCAGAAAACTTTTAACACATTGATGATGTCATGTTGTAAGGCCTGTTAGTTTTCCTTGAACGGTGTATCCTTGGCGGGGTGGCAGAGTTCCATGCTTTGCCGTGAAACAGGCAGTCGTTGTAACTTAACTGTACATGCTCAAATCTGTACCAAACTTTGCGTGCTTCATTACTTTACCGCCCCGGACACATCTACACGCCAATATCCACATCTACACGCCAATATCCACCTGAAGTTGTAGTGCCAAAGTGCTCTGCAGCGCCACAAAGAGGACACCTTTGTGCAGTGTCCGAAGCGCGTAGAAAATTCACAGCTGCACGAGCAGAGCTGCAGAATCTGCAGTGCGGCCGCCTCACACCTCGACGCGCTACACGTGCGAGGGCCCGCCCAATGCTGCTTGCAGCTTTAATTTTTACTGTAAAACACTTAATACATATAATGTGGGGACTAAGCTGTAGGCCTATTGTTGTTGTTTTGAGCAAGCTGATATTGGCTGTAGTCTGCCAGTTTCTTGTTATAAAGTCCATCAGAAATCATTTCAGATGTTGTTATGGCTGAAAGGTCTTCAGATAACCGAGTTCTCCTTTAAAGAGCAGTCATTTGGCTTATGAAAATAACAAGTAATCGATACGAGCCTGTTGGTTGGTGCTGGGGTTAAGATCGAGCCCATAGTGCGTTTTCCTGTGCGCGTAAGCGTGCGTGTGCTCCTTTAATCACTGACGGAACTGTAATGACCAATCAGCAGCCGTTTCAGCTACTGAGCGGAGGGCTGGCGGAGAGAGGGGCTGCACGAGAGAGAGAGAGAGGGAGAGAGAGAGGGAGGCAGAAGCGGACGGACTGAGGACGGGAGAGAGGGGGAAGACAGAGAGAGCAGCAGTCCCTCTCCGGTGGTTGTTCATGTCAAATCTCCATCCTCGGCACAAAGCGGTAAGTTGCACCGGCCCTGCGTTGTTTTGCTGTCCCCACATTTCACATTTAACATAAAAAACTGCTCATATTCGGCTTTACATTTTCACGTTTGTGTTGTTGCTACAGTGGTGGGAGTCTCGGTAGTTTATAAGCTCTTCTTGTAGGAGATGCGTAATTGAATTTAGTAATTTGGAGCCTGACACTGGCACAGTGGCATCGGGGTAGGCTCCCGGGTACTGAGGTAAGTTAGGCTGTTTCATGTTTAAACTGCGAGAACAAATTCTGTCACTGAGCTAACGTTAGTTTGCAAATTAACTTCATATTAGGCTTTCTTCAGCCGCTTTTCGGTGCAGTTGTTGGAAACACTAACCTGTAGGCCTACTCATTGTTCGCGTTGTCTCTTTTTGGATTTTATTCCAGTAACTTACTTAATAGTAACCTATCAGGAAGTTCGAGAGCCAGACCACCGTTCCTGTTGTCTTAACATCGGCAGCAGAGTGCAAACCGGTAACTTATTTGTAAGTTATCCAGTAAAAACAGTGATTTTTTTTTGAATGAATTAGGTACATGTAGGGCTACTTTTTACCTTACGTCGTGATGAAATTGCCTATTTGTTAGTCTATAGTTGCTGGACGGCTTTAGTAACCTAGAGTGTAAAGACAACGTTACCTTTAAAATGTATGTGTGTTGGCTAAGTTTTCTTGTCAGGTCTGGTGATTTTTAGTGGTAATATAACAGCAGGCTGTCTGGTATGGTAAACATGCGTTGTGACTGAAGAAAATCCTGTGGCTCAGTGAGTTGGCCTGTAATACTTTAGAAAAATGCTTGAAACATTAATGGGATTTAATTTTCTATTTCAGTAATTGCGGTTTTGGTACAGAGAGTGGGAGAGAGAGGCAAAGGGACCGGAGCATAATGTGGTGATGCTGATCCGTTCTGACTGATTTTCGTAACTCTCTCTTTTTCTGACTACATTTTGTTCCTTCCCCAACCTAAAATCAGTATCTTATCCGAGGATGTAGAGTTCAATTTCACACGTCTTCACATCTCATAAAGTATCAGTAAGACATAATATCAACCCCATTTTTAAACTGCATGTTACAATCAAATAGAAAAGCAACCATGGCTTCATTGCTTTGTCTTGTGTCTGGGCTATATTCATTTAGGTTGCTGGCTTTGCTGCTATTTAGTAGATGGTAATTAGAGTCAGAATGGGTTAGACCCAGCTGCTGAATATGTGTGTTCAGACTGGACAGCAAATCAGTGTTGGATTTTACCAGCTTGAAGTGCCAGGGCAACATCTGGACAGTTGTGTAGCAACAGTGTTGATTATAATGTTAATCACAGGGAAATATTCAAAAGTCTTTCCTTTTCCACAGCAAGGCTTTGTGACATGTTTTGTAAAAAAATTTAAAAAAAAAAAAGAATAAAAGGACAAATAGGGCGTAAATTTTTTGGAGGTTCATACTTGTCTGTATGTTTGTTGTTTGATGACCATTTTTATAGCAAAATATGTAGGCCTATTCATGAATTTTTAATGTACCACATCATTTTACTTTTTGTATGTGTAAAAGCCTCTAAAAGCAGCATTTAGTCTGAAAAAAAAAATAATGAAATCGTTGTGATGAGTTTGAGAACAGGTTTGGGCGCTAACTTTACAGACTGATGCCTCTGAAAGTGCCCAGTCCAAACAGCACTAATATATTTTATGACTGACAACAAAACACAGAAATTGGCCCAGTATATCCACAAACCTTTAGTTGTTAAGATTTACTTAAAGGAGTCGCTTTTATAAGTTTATAGAACAATAACGAGAAGCACTGTAGTGAAACCGAACTATTCACCTGTACAACTTCAGCTGTGGAAAGAATTAAAAGCTGTGGCCCTGATTTAGACCCCTTGTTGAGATCTACTGATTTATATTTTGTATGATTCCGGAGTTTGCCAGTGTAACATGGTTAATAATGCTTGCACTTGTCAATTACCATTAGTTTGAAGTGTATATTTGTGTACTTTGGTTTTGTGTTCTGTCACTTTAAAATAGCTGTGCGGTCGTCCTTAAGACAATGACGCATGTTACGTTCTTCCGAGTTTAACTTACCCGTGTAAGCGGTAAGTCATCTTTATAACACTTTACAGATTTTATTAAGAGATTGTTATTTTTTGTTCTTTATATTGATGTATATGTACCTGGAAGAGGTTAAATATGGACAAAGACAAAGTGCAGTTGACGATTTCTATATTCATATCTGTTCTAAGAGCAGCATTTAGGCTATGATGCTAGCTAAATTAGCCAACTACTAAGCTGTGTGTGTTTTTTACAAGTGTTTTTATTTATCCAGTGTAATCATGGCTGAGGATGAATGTTCAAGAACAGTCCAGTAACCGTACTATTTGTCTATTATCAGAATAAAATGACTCAACTGGGAATACTAGCCTGTGGTGCCTGTTCATAACACAACACAAAGGAGTTCCTGTTACACCAGCATTCATTGAAGTGCCTTAGAAATGTACTTACCACTGGCATCCATCATCCCTATTACCTGACCTGAGTGCCTTCTCACAAAAAGCCCTTATTGTCTCAGATGTGACCTTGGTGCACCCAAACAGCCCATCACGTATGTTTTAAAAAGACCAAGAGCCTGAAGTAGCCTGCTGGCTGGCTGGCACGTAATGAATTAATTAGAGCTCTGAGTATTTTTTTTCTTCCAACTGTAAGAATTGGTTTGTGTGCTACTCATAGTCCTCGTCCCCCAGTACACCTCGCCAGGCAGCAGTGACCAGTGTAAGTTTGTTATATAAATTAAAATTTAATTTTAACAACAGTTTTTTGGTGGGCAGTAAATGTTCTACATTTACCAGAAGACTCTGCCAATTTGTAAAAAGTCTTAAAGTCTAGTTCTTTTAGATGTTCTTGCAAAAAAGCAGGAATATTAATCGATTTGTTTCATGCTAATTGCCTGGACATCTACTCTGTGTTGGTGGACTGTAAACTGGGTGACACTGACACTGAGCCTGTCCAACACTGCCTGCATGTACCCAGATATATTGTTTGTGACCACTAGGGTCAACTCTCCAAATCGAAATTTGGTCCCCAAATTGGGGACTTTGTTTACATGAGCTTAGCTTCTAAGGCTACACCACTTTTCAGGCTGGATTCAAATCCCAGGGTGGCCCTGACCCTAAAAATGTAAAGTTAATCATAATATTTCAGTAGTGGACACTATTCGAGGTACCTGGCAACAGAAATGCTGTTGTAAACTCTGACAGCTGATGGAGCTTTTGTGTGCTGACCCCAGGCTACTTTAAGGTGGAAAAAGGAATAATCTGCTCCACCAAAGTCCCCGAGGACTTTCTCTGGTTGTGGCCTTTGATTAACACTTAATCACTTAAACAAGATGCCAAACAGTAATGTTAGAGCACAATAAGAACAGCAGCAAACCAAAAAACATATTTTTGTTAAAACACGGGACATAAAATAATTAAGCACACATTAGTGTGTAAATACAAGTAGATTCTAAAGCACTATTCTAGGAAGCAAGAAAATGATGGAAACATAAACGCCGGGAAGATATTTATGGAAGAAGATACAGACAATGCCAGTCTCAGTTATTCAGGCTGGTCTCCCCAATGCCAGAGAGCCATGATGGCAAAAGCTTAGTCACCTTTAGTCTTTAGCTTGGACACAGTCACAGTCAGTGTGTAGTCTGTGAAGCAGTCAAACCGTCAGTGAGATAACCTGGAGCTTGGCCTGGAAAACATTTGCACATAATCACTGCAAACATCAGCCATCAGAGAGGAGAGGGCCCTTCTCTGTGTTTTAGGTAAAAGCCTTGCTCCAGCACTCTGACCACACTGGAGGCCTTCTCTTTTTGGTTAAGGCAAACAAACAGGTCACTGCAGTACTTTAAGGCAAATGGAGATGAAAGCATGTAATCCTCTGGATCACTGAAACTCAGGACGGATCTAAGTATAGCAGTGCTCATGAGATGACTGGAAAAGCCTGAATGAATGAGTATTTTAGTGTTTCATTCCAAATTAGGGCCTGGAAACAGGCCTAATGTGTTTATTGAGCTGTCTGTAGGATACCTCACTTTGGTGGGAAACATTGATATTTTGCCTTCATTTTTTTCGGTTAATGCAGAGACGATGATTAGTTCAGCTCAATTGGCTTGACAGGCAGGATCACTGGCAAACAAAATCATAAAGAGGCCACAGGAGGAAGCTGTATAGTGCTTCTTGCTTCTCACCTTGATTTTTAAACGTCATTTTAACATCACAATTTTAGAAAGCTATAAACTCTTTTTCACAGCTAGATTTCTTCATTTGTTTATTGGTTGTATATATTTATTTTCACGTGTCTCTACAGTTCCCCAGTGCCCAACAGTTGAGCTGTTGTTGCTTTCATTATTCAAATTGCTCTAACATACCAAAACATCTTAAAAATAAGGTAGAGGATAGGCGAGGTGTCCTGTTAGTCTCTAAAAACAAGTACACAGTAAGTTGCTGCAAACTGTTCATATTGTCGCTTTGTCAAGATCTCTTGGCGTAGTTTATTAACTCCCTGGGTACCCCTTTGGCGTTCTTTTTGTATGTGTAGTGCTCCACGGTCAAGTTAGCTACAATAAGTATGCAATGTCCAATTAGACTTTCAAAGTAAAACCTGCGGTTAACCTTGTCAAACGTCGCACTTTGGATAGGTTTAGGGACCAAAACTACTTGGTGAGGTTTTGGAAAAGATCATGGTTTGGGTTCAAATAACTACATAAGTTACGCTATTTATGTAAGTCATGTCAGTTACGTAACATCACTAAAATAAATGAATTTTGACTTTTTGTTTCACACAGGAAACAAACAACGGTCTCCTGGCGAAAGATGTTTTTTTGCCCCACCCATCTCCTTATTCAGACTTTTCTGTTATTTGGAGTAGTACTTTTAGCGTTGAACAATGCCGCTAAACTTGCCATGTGTACCAGACGCCGAAAGATGTGACAAAGAGTAGCTATCTGACGCTCTGG